CAGCTAGTTCCTCCATTATCCTAAGATGCAATTATCACTGCTTTAAGATACTGGGCAATTCCTTGTCCTCTTCTACTGCTTTGGTTCCTTTGAAACAAATTATATCCTTCAACTGCCACATTCCAATCAAGGGAGTCATTCCACTATTATTCCATTATTACCTATTAACTCATATTGGCATTTCTGTACTGAAAGTTCAGACTCATCTTCTTTACTTCCCATATACTGAGAATTAGTGTAAAAACAATGTTCATTAATTTTATGAACCTTTTTTTTTTAAATTATGAGCCAGTGGTTTAAGCAGCCACATTTCAGCAACATTTTCCAAAGTGTGAACAAGTTTTTATCTAAGATCTTTTCTTCAGGGTCTTTGTTTCTAGCCTCTACAGTTTAAAGCACTCTTAACTGGCTTTGGCCAAACACATACTTTGGCCAAATACATTCTTACCATTCCTTGTGAGGACAACCTATCTTATGCTAACACTCAATCATCTAGATAATACAGAGAATTCATGGTGCCAGAAACCAAATCTCTTGATAAGTTCTAGAAGTTGTTCTCTCATATTCCAGATCTTCTGGTAGATAGCACATGTAATGAGCTGAAGGAGTGGTTGCTATGCATTTGTTTCAGTTCCCAGTAGTAGAGAGCCCCCAACTACCACAGCTATTCTCTTTGTCTTACAATTGTCTTACAGTTGTACCGCTGCCCTTTAGGGATACACTGTCCTGCCTCTTGTCCTACAGTGCTTCCTTCTTGCAGCAGGCAAACAATGCCTCAAGCATTGTAAACCACAAGTGCAGATTCCTTTCATCTTTATTTTTGCTTCTTAAGGCAGCAAAAACTTATTTCTTCTTGTTCTATTCTCAAACTTTCAGGTTAGCCAAATACAAACTTCTGACTTGGAAAATTTGTTACAGACTGCCCCACCAAAACTACTTGCCTAGCAAACTCCCTGTTCATTCAGTGAGCTGATAAATGATAAATTACAATACCATTTTCAAGTCAGTCTGTAGCATGTAATAATACAATCTTCACCTACATTACATAACATTTTCACCGGTTAATACATCAAAGCATTTGGTTGATTTGGTTGTGATTTAGTGTGATACACAAATCAATCCCAAAATATAAACTACATTTTACAAAGCACAAGATATGAGTTCACACCTAGACTTCTGGGAAAGCAATCGCATACTGAGGACGGCTCCACAAGAGTGAAGCTGACAGCCACGTCAGAAAGTGGAGCTGGTGAATGCATCGATTCCTCAGAACTCCTCTCCGGATTAAGGAGAGGACTAGGGTCACCTGCAAGTTTGCTTCATACAGAGGCTCTCCGTGAAGAGATCGTAGAATAGTGATCTCTGGTGGGTTTGAGAGCTCTGGGAGCTGGGGGAAAATCATCCTGCCTAAGACACAGTTTGGTGCCTTCAAAAGGACACTGGGTTCACCCACTTCTTCTCTTAATTACCTTAGGAAATTGCTTGTTATTGATCTTTTGGATGTTAAGAACCTTCTGAAGGGCAAGTTTCATTATGCTGAGTGATGCATAATGCACCTTCTATCCTGACTGAAAGAAGTTTCATGTAAGTTTAAGGATTAAAAAGAAAAAAAATATTTTTTGGAAAACAGCAAAAGAGAGACTAGAATGTTGATTTTGGAAAGTTAAGGGGCCAGATGGACTTGAAAAAATATTTCCTGCAGGATGTTTAAAAATTTATAAAAGTATATATGAAGATTTTGAAATTAACCGTAAGAAATCCTCCTGTGGGAAAGTTTTGCTGATTGAAAAATAAACATATGATAAGAGGGAACTTTGAAGGCTGATTAGAGGGAATCAGAGAGAACTAAGGATTACAATTAAATGAGAAGAGACCTATTAATACAATGGAGCAATATTATCTGACTATAGAAGAAATTAAGGCTGTCTGGGAACAATGTGCTCAGAAATTATTTTCAAGATTGTCTGCACAATGGAGCAATATTATCTGACTATAGAAGAAATTAAGGCTGTCTGGGAACAATGTGCTCAGAAATTATTTTCAAGATTGTCTGCCAATATAAACATGGATCTAACAGAGGCTACAGAAGAGGAACAGATTTTACTGGACAAAATAGAGACTAAGGCTGACTTTAATGTGGATTTGAAAATGCCAGACTACAAGATTGATATGAAAAAAGTTGATGTGGATTTGAAAACAGATTTAAAAATGACAGACTGTAAGAGTGATATGGAAAAAGATGCCACAATGGATTTACAGATGAAACTGTTGATGTTTTAATAACTAAAGGGTACATACAAATAATAAATCAGAAGAGTGAAATGGACAGCCTTCTTAACTTGGATTTACAGAAGGTGTATATTAAACTACTGAAGCTGTTCCTGAAAAGGGACAAAGAGAAAATGATAAGAAATCAACTTGTGAAATATTATTTGATAGGATTAAAGATCAAGCTTTTTAAAAGTAAATGGAAGGAATACAAAGTGAATTTATTTATTAAAATATAGATGTTGTGGTTTCTGGTAGCTATTAATGGAATTTCTTTCTGACCAGGACTGAATGATGAGGCTTTAAAGATTTGTTTATAAATGGGGAGAGATTTATTTTACTTTATTCCTCAGAGAAAATGATAAGTTGGAATCCAAAATGGATTTATTTGATTAAGGTTAAAATATATATACTATTATTTCTGGTAGCTCTTAATAGACTTGTGCTGAATAGGATTGAATGATGAGTTTTTACAATTTGTTTACTGATAAAGAGATGAGATATGGAAGAAGAGGGTTTTTTTAACTGAAACACTAGAGAAGGTGTTAAGTTACTGAAGTTGTTTATACTTGTCTAAAGGGACTGGGGAGTCATTCTTTTACATATCTTTCTTATTTTTTTTCTTTCCTTTTTTTTCTCTCTCTCTCCTTTTCTTTCTCTTTTCTTCACATTTTATTCTTTTCTTAGTTTGTATTAGTCTTTCATCTTTGTACATGTAACTTTAATAAAATTATTACGAGAGAGAGAGAGAGAGATGAGTTCATACCTCACAGTAAATCAAAAACAAATAAACCAGGTTGTTACTTAATTTGATCAGCAAGATGCATTTTATAAATTTAATGCAGACAACTTACTCTAAATTTATATTTTTCAATTTAAGTCTCAACCATTTTTGAATCATGGTAGCTGTTTTTGCACAACTTAAAGAATTCACAGTTGGAATTTCATTGTTGCTTCAGAATCTGCTACCTTAAAATACCTAATGCAATATGGAGAGGAACAGGATAATTCTTAGCTTTGATTTCCTGATTCCTATCCTGAAAATATGTTACAATTCTCTCCTCCCTTGAAACACATGAGACCTATGCTACATATTCAAAAAAATGCTGGGATATCCTCTCCACTTCAGTGAGCAATTTTTAAGTCTGAATAAAACTTTGCGGGAAAACAGTTCAGGAAGGAGTTCCATCCTGTTCTTACTGTGAAACTAGGCTGAGCTGAAGCTGCCATAATGAACCAGGCACGTACGCATGAAGCTGCTATAGCCTAAAGATGAACCAGGCACATAAGCAGGAGAGGACAAGACAGGAATCTTGTCTAAAAGATCCCTTTGGGGAGGTAGATAAGAAGGAAACAAGTTTTTAAGGAAACAAAGGAAAAATTTCACCTGAAGAAGACAAAGGAAGCTGGGCATGGAAGCATCAAATAATCACACAGTCATGTTTGGCTGCGTGACAATATCAAAGCAAGACTAATTTGCTGCTCCATGTTCTCTCTCTCTTATTTTTTCTCACTTTTCAAATCAACATCCACTAAAGTACAGCCCCATACTCAACCCAGATAAAAAGCTACAGTGAACACACCCACATTTTCCTCCCTTGTCTCTTGAAAGAGAGGAATGTGAATGTCTTAAATTTGTGCTGCTGGAAATGGGATGTGGACATAATCTCAGTTTTATCAGTTGCATTCCTCAGCATAAGAAGTAATTAATCTTAAAAAACTGGATATGGACTTTTTCCCCTTAATAGTGACATGAAACCAGGATGACCACTGTCTTACACTTTGATTGATTACCGATATGTTAGCATAGAACATGAGGAAGAATCTTCATGACATTTATATAAAAGAAGACTATTTAATAGATGTATTTGCAACAGTTCTATTTCAGCAAAATCCTAAATGATGTTCCTCAAATTACATAAATTTAAAGCTGTAATAGGATTAGAAGTTATCTTTGATCTGTTATCTATCATATTAAGATTTCATTGACAAAGAATCATAGAGATGTTTAAAAAAAAATACTGGTCTTCAAATTACTCCAGGCAACATTAAATATTCAGGAGTTATTATTACTACAAACAATTGATATCTATTAGTCAAAAGTAGTTATAATCACCTTCAGCACAGGTTTAGAGCACAACTTAAGCCTAGGCAGCACTATCTTATCACTTGATAGAACAACTGCAATTAAAATTATTATTCTACTGAAAATTCTACATTTGTTCTAAACACTCTCACAGTTCTACTTCCTATTATTTGGTTTTGGATAAGCAAAGAATTATTTCTTAATTTCTATATCACTATAAATAAAGCTAGGATTAAAGAATATAATATATAGCAATGCAAGATCATTTGAATATTGTACAATGTTACCCAGTTTGGCACTTTCCCAATGAATTGGGCCTCATCTCCCACAATTACCCAGACAGTGTTGAAATCCAAAATACTGAGAAAGCATCCAACTGAGGTAGACTTTTATTAAGTGTCTGACCAATTACAATTATTGAATAGATTGAACAAATCATGGGCTATACAGGTCTAGCAGACACAATAATGGCTACTGTAATTCCTCCATTCTACAAATTGCTTCAGTGTTTTAAAACCAACAGAATAAAAACTGGAAGTCTTGAAAAAAAGATAATAAATAAATGCCGAATTGGGCATGAAAGCAGTTGTGTTGCATCACGTTGGAGGGGGAAAAAAAAGAGTTTAACATGTTAATAAAAACTCACCCCCAGAACCCCAAATCTTTCACAAAAGTTCCAGCCACAGAGAAAGTCGATTTCAAAGTTGTGATTAAGGATGATGATAGCATTCTCATTCCCATACTTGAGGTATGACTGTTGATCGGTGTAGAGGGTACAAATAGTGCCTGACCACCATTCCAGCAACCACACCAACTCTGGAACAAACAATAACAAATCAATAAATAGACATAGTACCTATGGGTTTAAATAAACAGTTGCTTCACAATAGCAAGAAGTATGCCACTTCAGTATTCCTTCTGCTGTGCCTACAGCCACCCAAGGTTGGGCAGGGCCAAAATGTGGTCCTTTTTTTACACTGGGAGGCTTAAGGATCAAAATGGGTGCTTTAAACACAGCAGGCACCTCTGCCAGAGAAACAGAAGCTAGAGAAGAACTCTTATACCACCTCCCCCAACCTGGCACCCTCACATTTGTTGATTCTCCACCCAGCCTGATGTCTGAGAGGCTGATACAGTTAGTTACACCTCCAACACATCTAGGGACCATCAAGTGTTTCAAAAATGAGATCATTATGCCACTCTTGCAATTTTAAGTTTTTAAGCTCTTCCCTGAAAAGAGGAAGAAGACAAGACATTTGCACTGTAGGCCACTAAAAACCACAAGCACAGAAAAAAATGTGGACAATTTCCTGATTCTAGACTTATAGCAGCTGCTGTAAATAAATACAAACTTTATTCAGTAAAAAAAAAAAAAAAAAGCCACATTCCCAACATTCACACATTATATCAACTTGAGAAATTCTCATGAAAGAGTTGCTTCTTCTTTGGGGAGGACAGAATAAAGATGATGGTTAAATGTTTGTTTGTTTGTTTGTTTGTTTATTTATTTATTTATTCAGCTCAACCATTTCAGAATAGACTATTTCCTAGAACAAGAGGTTATTTTCTTCATAAAATAAAATACAATATTTGGAAAGAGTTTTAATAAACATTATAGCAGCATGTCTATGTCTCAGTACTTAGATGATGGCATAGAATTATCTGCTTCAAGTGGAGAGCAACACAGAACTGCTCCCACCTCCTGTTTTCCCAGTTCCTAGCCTGTGCTATAATATGAACTAGTATTAATCCTACCAGTTTACTCATTATCATTACCCACAATAATTAATTGACCCTGCAACTCACCATAGTCATTCAATACACTTTTTGCTTCTCCTCTGCTTAAGATGAACAGAACAGATAAACATTCATTCTGTATCCCCTCCATTTTTGCTTGGCTACCCTAATTTGCAAAATATTAAATGATACTAATAGAATTGTTTTATTCTGTATTTATACATTATGAAAATAAACATCCCCATAATCTAAACATCTGTTTGAATTTTTAAAAGCAGAGGGCAGGATGGAAGCTCCCTATTTTGTGAAAGATGATAATGATTTGCCATGCAGACATTAAAAAAGCCATCCCTAAGCAGGTGGATTATGTTCGTATTTGTCTGGATTTCAGTCCATTCACACACACATACACACAACAAATTTAATGAGGAAATTTAATTAGTGGTTCCTTTACAGCAGAGTCTGGGGACCCGTGGCTCACCAGATGTTGATAAATCACAAGTCCCAGCAGCCAAGGGTAAAGGATTCTAGGAACTTCAGTTTAGCAAAAGCTAAGGGGCCATAGGTTTCCTGGTTCTGTTTCCTATGATGTATCAACATTCTTGCCCTGTGTAAATTGTCATTTCCAACCTGGTGCTTTCTAGATGTATTCAGTACTATGGCTAGAGTTTATGATACGCCACATTTGTGGAGAATGTTAAGCTGTAGTCTCAGCACATCTCAAGGGTACAAATTTATACATGTTTGCTGTAATGTATGTAGCACCAAATTAATTTTACATGTTTAAAATTGTTTTATGTTAAAATTGTATATGTTTAAAATTAACATAGTCATTATTGACTTCTAGCTTAGTTTCGATTATACCTTCTTCACAAAATGAGAAACAGTGACATATGATGCTGAATTATAAAAGAATCTCACAGCTGCAAATTATTTATGGAGTAACTAAACATCTCAGAAAATAAGGAAATGATAAAAGTATTTGCAGTCTTTATTCTCCTCCTACATTAAAAATGCTTTCTAGTCCTATTCTTTTTCCTAGTGTTGACAAAATGGGAGCACTTAATGTTGTTACTTATAATATGGACTTTTTAGAAAAAAATATTACTGATTTTATTTCTATGCACAAAGACACATTATTTTCAAAATGAAATCATGAGTGATCTCTATTGCTAGGAAAGCAAAGCATAGGAACATGTGGCACAGCATGCTTAGAAACCAGTGAATCCCCAGCTTCAGAAAGAGAAGAGTAAGCCTAATGAAATCTAAATTCCAGTTAGAGGAATTGCCTGGTAATCCATGAGTTCAGACAAGAAACTTTCCTCAAATGGTAAAAAGCAAAGAAGTCACACTTTTAATATTTACAGATTTTGAAAAATGGTAAGAAGCGCTGTCATTTATTTAGGAAAATCCCTGCCGTTATCAATGGAGTTGCCAAGAGAAGGCTTAAATATTTCTTAGCCTGTAAAGAAATGTTTTCCTTCATTGTTCACTAGGGCTCAGGTATCTAACAAATCATGAAAACAGTATCAGCAAAATGGTAGAATAACAGGAGGATTGTAGCACAACACAGTGACTCAGATCTACCAGGAAAAATAAAGCCCTACATCCAAAAGTCATAAGACCTGGTACGAGGGGACAACTAAGATGGCCTTAGCCCAAGATACATCTGCAGAGGCACCAAACCTAGAAAAGTCACTTCTGTCAAGAGTATATTTGCACCCTGCTAACAGAGGCATTATAAGGATTATATAAAGGATAAGAGAATCTAATGAATTAAAGATAAAATCTTATTACCCTATTATGTAACGTATCCACCAATAGATTGCTTTGGAAATAATTCTCAAATATCTGTATAGTGCTCCCATATGTTGAATGAATTATTGAGTTGAAATACTGGTATCAATTCATTGTTCATTGCTCAGAGCACATTTATGGACAGTTGAGAACAGAACAAAGTACACTGTAAAGTAGATTAGACTTATCCCCCTTATTAATGATGAACTGGGGGACAGGGCAAGACTGGAAGAAAGCAGCTGTATCAGAACATCTAGCAGGGCTTCCAGCAGAAGCAAAATTAAAACATAGGATTTCGTGATTTATGGTTCAGTCAATTGGCCATTAAGCTAACCAGTCCACTTAGATTTTGGCACAGCTAAAAAAAGTATCAAAATAATGATGAGATATGAGACCATCAGCTATGAAAAGCAACTCCATCAAGAGGGTCTGAAGCAACCTTGAATACAGATGGGCTTTTCCTTGTGAAGGATTAACACCAAGCAAACTGAAACTCAAAATCAAACGCTCAAGTGCATTTTTAAAATAACTTTGAAAGCATGTGTTGCCAGGCTGAGATGGATGGAGCCCTTTGTTGAATGTGTCTTGTCTCTCTTTGTCTGTGGTTTGTACAGAGTGACTGGATCCCCTTTTGTTCTGTTTTGTGTTGGGTTTTTTAATGCTGTATTACTCTGTGAGCCACACAGAGTCAGCTGGTGCCTAAGCTGAAGCTAATAAGTAAATAAATAAATAGTTGATATGCAGAACATGACTGTGAGACTATTCTTGTGTTAGTACTTGTTCTTATATATTGGTTTCTTATATGGGGAGAAAGGAGAAAAAGGTGGATGAAATACTGTACACTATAATACTATACTCTTACGTCAAACAATGTTTTTAAAAATAGAATTTTAGTATGCAACATTATTCAATTCTTGGGAGCGAGAATTTGTATCTCCTCAGCTGTCCACCTTCTACTTCATTCTTGGTGCTATTCTTTGACGTACATTTTAAATCGGTATCCTTAGAGGAAGAAAAAAGGGTCACGTGAATCCTCTACATCAGGTGAGTCAGTATTTGGGTCACAACAATTCCTGCTAGCCTCTGAACCTCTGACCTAGCCATTCAGCCCATTCAGCTCAAATATCAGAAAACAGAGATGTGCAAAAGTGCTTGATTGACTTGGTTGGAGTAACACATATGAAGGGTATTACAGCTAGACGAGGCTTGATGAACATCATCTATGTAAGGGCTGGACAGCATCTAGTACAGTGTTTCTCAACTTTGGCCACTTGAAGATGTGCTGGCTGGGGAATTCTGAGAGTTGAAGCCAATACATCTTCAAGTGGCCATGGTTGAGAAACACTGCTGTAGCAGAATGTTCTCTGAGAGCAACTCATTAACTGAAGCAGCGTCTGTTGCTCTTAAACCTGCGTATCCACTTAACTGTTATACTGTTTCAGACCTCCCTGGTGCACTGACACTTCACCTCCTTCTCCTTTGGAATTCAGACTGGTTTGGCTTTTAACTTCTGGGCTGGATTACTGGCCATTTTTCTGTGTCTCTCTGCCCACAAAGTAACTCCTTTTAGATCTCAGGCTAATGCTTTTATCCTTCCCAATCCCAACTCAGAACAGAAGAAAGAGGAGAGTTAAGTATGTTGTCAATGTTGCAAATTATATTCACCATACTACCATCAAAATTTAAGTTATATTCAACGTGACACCCAATTTTCATCAATCCTTGACCTAGGGTCCAATAGGATTTTATTCTGTTTGGGAAAGTTCACCCAATATGAGAAGACTATTTTCAGAAATGATATCCTACATATATAGATGGGGATGAGGGATTCACCTCTCAACCCAAGCTTTAAAATATGTCTAAGCATCAGCATCTTTCTAAGGTAAAATTACCACTTTGTGCCACAAATATTTCTAATATAGTATTTTATTTTTAAGCATCCAGTGAGAATTTAATAATCAATTTGGCATTCCGTCTAAAACCAAACCAGCAAAACAAATACTACAGCATGCAATTTTTCCATTCAAGGTGCCAGCCAACCATTTATACCCTCCTCTACAATATTCCATTTCATTTTCTTCCCATCTGTTTTTCTAGGGTTTTCCCTGAATCAGCCAACATTCTGCACCTTCCTTCCCACATTAGCTTTTCTTCCTCAAGCATTTTTGTATGATAAATCTTGAGGTTCCCCAATGCCTCTCTCTTGTGTGCATGTATACCATTAATGATACAAAAGTAAGAACCTGAACCTTGGAAATATAGTGGCAAATGCTGCTTTTGTA